GCTGCTCCCATCCCCGGAGACCTCTCGGTCTCCATGGGGCTTTCTGACGAAACAAGCCCAAGAGACAAGCCGAGTTGTCCCCCTCAAATCACCTCCCCTCTTTCGCGCTTCCCAGGAGGAGAGAAACGGGGCTCGGGGTCTCTTCGGGGCTGCTGCGCCTGAGGGGAGCAGCTGCGAACGGCTCACGTAGTAATTTCCCGCTCCCTCCAAACGATAGATACGGATTTGCTAGATCGGACCTTCCTTTTCCAGGCAGCACAGATGTCAGCTCTGCTCCTCTTCCTCCCAGGGCGGGAGTGGGAGGTGTCGCCGGAAGTCGCGTGGCAAAAGCAGGGACTGGAGTGGCCAGGCATGCAAAGGAGCGATACTCTCGGTCCCAGCCGTCTAAATCGGGCGAGGCTCACTTGACAGATAGGGACCGTGTCCAGCTGAGAAACTTCCTGACAGAACAATTAACCAATGGAACAACCTGCCTCCAGAAGTGGTGAATGCTCCAACGCTGGAAGTTTTTAAGAGACTGGACAGCTATTTGTCCGAAATGGTATAGGGTTTCCTGCCTGAGCAGTGGGCTGGAGTAGATGACCTCCAAGGTCCCTTCCAACTTCATTATTATTATTGTTATTATTTTTATTATTATTATTCAGTCTGACCCCCTGCACCAGAGGTAGGCACCTCAATGCCGCAGCCACCTTGGGCTCCACAAGTTCTGCCATGCCCAATTTACCTTTACTGTGTTCCTCCCTCTCTTAATCAGGCAGGTCCAGCCTTCTGGGAGGTTGTGTGAGAGCCTCTTCCAGATGCTGCTCACTGCCTTCTCCAAATTGCACCAGCCCCTCTCTAACAGGTATACCCCGTTCCCATGTGGAAAGAAAGCCTTTGGAAAGATTCTGAGGCCTCCCAAAGCATTGCAAAACTAGGTTTGTTTGCTATTCTCCAAATGGTGCTGCAAAAGAGAGTGATGGAGAATGGAAGGCGCACACCGTTCTCATGAGACAGGAAGTGGTTTTGCCTAGTGCAGGGGTAGGCAACCTCAGCTCTTTTGACTCGTAGACTTCAACTCCCAGAATTCCTAAGCCAGCCATACTGAGGGGAAAGGGAATATTTCCAAGCTGAGCCATGCTGGCTCAGGAATTCTGGGAGTTGAAGTCCACACATCATAAAAGAGCCAAGGTTGCCTACTCCTGGCCTAGTGGGAAAGAGCAGAGGTTGTCTCGGGGACTTGTGTAGGAGAAGCTGAGGGAATCCCCAGTGCCTTCTCACTGGGTGAAAGGGCTTCCAGCATCACCCCTTTGCAAAGAACCCTGGGCAGGGGTTGGGCTGACTTTGCGATGGGAAAACGGGGTGGGGGGGAGAATCTGAAAGGCAGGTTTCACTTTTTTTTCTCTTTTTTGCAGTGCAAAGCCAGCCCTATACATCCAGGAACATGACACAAAGGGGCATGTGTGCACTCTAGCTCAGTGTTTCTCAACTTTGGCAACTTTTAAGAGGTATGGACTTAAATTCCCAAGGTTCCCCGGCCAGCATGGTAGTTGAAGTCCACACATCTTAAAGTTGACACGGTTGATAAAGACTGGGCTAGCCCATTTAAGTGGAAAACTAGCCTCATATAGCCCGGGAGCATGACACAAAGGGGCATTTTGGCATACTCTAGTTCAGTGGCCCCCAACCTTTTGGGCACCAGGGACCAGTTCTGTGAAGATTTTTCAGCGGACATGGTTTTACATACTGCCGATGGGGCTTTGCATGGCCCAGTTTCTGGCGTGCCATGGCCGGTGCTGGTACATGGACCAGGAGTTGGGGACCCTAGCTTCAGTTTACCCCGTTAAAGCTGCTTTTATTTCCCCACACAAAGCCAGCTCTAATATGGCCAAGCAGACAGGCCGGGCATATCTCAACAGCAGCAGGAGCAACAATATGGCAGCAGATGGGGCAGCTGACCACAGGGTGGCATGGGTCTTGGAGTGCAGGCTAGCAAAGGCAACTGTGAGTGGAGCAGCTGTATGGTGAAGATACTGGGCTAGAAATAAAGGAGAACGGGAGTTCTAATCCTATCTTAACCCTAGTGACCTTGAACCAGTCCTAACCTCAGCCCAAGGAAGCAGGCAATGGCAAACCACTTCTAAGATCTTGCAAAGAAAACTGCAGGGTACAGACCAGGCCAGGGGTAGGCAACCTTGGCTCTTTTATGACTCGTGGACTACAACTCCCAGAATTCCCGAGCCGGCATGGCTCAGCTTGAAAACCTCTCCCTGTCCCCTCAGCATGGCTGGCTCAGGAATTCTGGGAATTGAACTCCTCGAGCCATAAAAGAGCCAAGGTTGCCTACCCCTGGCTCCAGACCATCACATGGACTCCACAATGACTTGAAGACACAGTCACACAGACAGAAAGAGAGAAAAGTTCAAACATTTCTTAAGTGTTCTCTGAACTTAGGGCAGTGGTTCTCAACCTGGGGGTCGGGACCTCATTTGGGGTCGAACGACCATTTCACGGGGGTCGCCAAACAAGGCTGTCCGCCATTTTTTTCCCCTTTTCTTTGGCCACTCCCCTGGCACCTGGTGATGTATAAGTGGTTGGGGGTCACCACAACATGGGGAACTGTATGATGGGGTCGTGGCATTAGAAAGGTTGTGAACCACTGATTTAGGGGAATGTAGTGCCCAAGTGCAGAATGTCTTTTCTGCAGCCATTTTACAGGCGTTTCACCTTGCGTTCCAGGAAGACAGTACAAAAGTTGCTGCACAGGCACTCCTCAACTTACAACAGTTTGTTTAGTGGCCATTCGAACTTAACAATAGCACCGAAAAAAGTGACTTATGACCGTTTTTCACACATTGCAGCATCCCCAAGGTCACGTGATCAAAATTCAAATGTTTGGCATCCGATTCATCACGGTTGCAGTGTCCCAGGGTCATGCGATCATAGTTTACGAACTTCTGACAGGCAAACTCAATGGGGAAGCTCGATTCACTTACAACCATGTTACAGTTGCAGTGATTTACTGAACTATGGCAAGGTAGGTTGTAAAATGGAGCAAAATAACTGTCTCGCTGAACATAAATTTATGGTCGTAGGTCAAGGACTACCTATATCCAGTCTGTGTGAAATTTGAATTTAATGGGGCCCCTCAGTTACACACTATTTAGGCAGTATGGAGGGATTACATGGAGGAAACCTTGCAGGATCATCTTAAGATTGGAGAACTCCAAAAAAAGGTGCTCATGACAGACTTGGGCCACCATTATCCCTAGAGATTGTTACCATTCCCTTTCTCTTCCAACTTGACTTCCTAACCCTTTTTTAATACTGCTTTTATTTTTATAAATTACTCAATGTAGCAAACATATCTAATACTCTTTCCTTCTACTTTCTCCACAACCACCACCCCGTGAAGATGAATTGAGTTGACAGAGAGTGACTAGCCCAGTCAGCTTTCATTGCTAAGTTAAAACCAGAATTTACAGTCCCAAGTTCCTTGTCAGGTGCCTTAATCACTAGGCCAAACTGCCACTCTACTTTCTCTCTCTCTCTCTCTCTCTCTCCTACTGTCAACAGCCCAGGAGAGATGCTTTTAAGAAATCATGGAACATATTCATTTATACAATTGGAAAACTATAACAGTGGGAATGTGAGGGTTTGGGCAATGTACGTTAAGATTACAAAAAACATCCAGTTTGGAGTTACATAGGCCTTTACATATGCCTAACACAGCAGCCCTAGGCAGATCCTGTCTGAAGAAATTCCTAAAGACTTTCAGGAACTTCATTCCTTGAAGATGTAAAACAAAAATGATAAATTATAAATATCTTCTTCCATTCACTTCTCTTTTCTTTAGCTGTGCAGGGTGACTTTTCTTCTTGTTCCACCTTTTACGGCTGCCACATCACATCAGGTCTAACCTCCTGATTTCTTTTTTTTTTTTCATTCATTCATTCATTCATTGACCACTCATCTTACCATAAAGTAACTCTGGATGGCTTACAGACAGAAAAATACATCTACATTAAGGCCTGAATAAATTAAAACCAAAGATTGAAATCAAGGACATGTCAGAAGCAGGGAGCAAAGTAGGGGGGGAGGCGGTTAATCAATCACCTCCACTGTACTGTTCCTCCACTAGGGCCCCACACCAACTGGCAGAGCCAGTTCTTTAGGGCCGTAAGAAAGGAGGATTGGCACTAACCTGTTCAAGAGGGCAGGAGCTATAACAGAGAAGGCCCTCCTCCTGGACCCTGCCAGTCGGAATAATTTGGCTGATGGGACTAGCAGCATGCCTCCTCTGCTGGCACAAGTGGGGCAGGCCAATCCCAGTGGGGTGAGAGGGTGCCTCAGCTGTAGCCTCCAAATTCTCTTTGAGGGTACCCCATGTAGAGTGCATTGTAACAGTCTAACTGTGAGATGACTAGGGACTGAACTTCTGAGTGACCATACGCCCTGCACTAAAACAACACCAAAATAACCAACTTTCAAAGAGATTATATGCCCTCCATATCTGAGAATACGTTTAAAAAGTATACGATGAGTGAGATAATAGTGCATTTTCACTAACTCCCCCAATCTTTTATGTTTCTATGGTAACTCTCCTGAATGGGTCATCCTATGAAAAATTAAGCCACTGATCCATCTTCAGTTCTTTCCACATTTGAGGGCTTATACCTTTTCTTGTGTGTTGCTGCTTGGATGATAAATAAGGTCCAGGCTCAAGAAAAACATCTTTGCATGTTCCGTGCATTAATAAGCTGCCTGCCATGTCTGGATTCTTGGATGATGAATACGTTGGCGGTTGCAAATAAAGCTCAGTCCATGGATGTGTATAGTTTTTCATGTGTACGTCCTTTTATGAGGCGAGACCCTATACTCAGTGAAGCCTGATCCACTTTCCATGCATTTCTAATTTTCCTGTCTGGATACCTCTGACAACTAAAGATGCCGTAGTCATTCGAGAATTCTTCAGACTCAAGGCATTTATACATTCCCTCCCGCGTGGATCCTTTGGTGACGAGTAGCGCTTGTCTTGTCATAAAAGCTCTTTCCACATTCCAGGCATTTAAAAGGTTTCTCCCCTGTGTGGATCCTTTCATGAGAAGTGAGATATCCCTTGCGGGTAAAGCCCTTTCCACACTCCATGCATTTATATGGTCTCTCCCCTCGGTGGATTCGTTCATGACAATTAAGTTGTCCTTTCTGGGTAAAGCTCTTTCCGCACTCCATGCACTGATACGGCCTCTCCCCTGTGTGGATCCTTTCATGAGAATTAAGTGGTCCTTTCTGAGTAAAGCTCTTTCCACATTCCAGGCATTTATATGGCCTCTCTCCTGTGTGGATCCTGTGGTGGCGAGTAACTTCTTTCTTCTCAGAAAAGCTCTTTCCACAGTCTATGCATTTATATGGCCTCTCCCCTGTGTGGATCTTGTTATGAGAATTAAGATGCCCTTTCTGGGTAAAGCTTTTTCCACACTCCAGGCATTTATGTGGTCTCTCCCCAGTGTGAATCCTTTGGTGGAGAATAAGTTTACTCTTGCTAATGAATCTCTTTCCACACTCCATGCATAGTTTCATCTCTCTGCTCCGACTGGAATCCCTCCTAGATTTTACAGAGGTATGTAGTTTGTTTTTGCTGTATAATTCCTTTAGTAAAGTAAGAGAGAAAGAATGACTGACATATTTTTCATACATTGCACACATTTTTCCTTCAGTCTGGTTTTCGTCACATTCATGTAAATCAAATGGATTTTTCTCTTTTCCCCCATATTTTTCCTTTTTCTTTCCTTCCAGGTCTTGCTGGAACAGGAAATTAGGGATTCCAACAGGAACAGAAATGGATGGCTTCACCCCTTCATCTTCTGTGTGCTTTCTCTCTTGTCTTCTTGTGTCCTCTTCATGGGCAAATATCACGTCTTCAACTTCATGCTTCTCTGCCTTTAACCCTGCTTGCTTGCTATTCTCATTTTTCAGCCCATCGTCTCCTTAGAAAAAAGAAAATGTTTGTTACAATTGAGAATGGTGAAAGGAGGGTCTCCCCCTTTCAAAAACACGTGTTCCAGGTTGGCACCAGCCATGTGTCTAACTAGGATCTGATGGCTGCAAATTGTTATCTAGGAGACCCTGAATGTATACAAAGAATTTTTCAGCCAAGAAATATATTAACTCTTTGGTGTTGATTGGTCAATCTGCTCAGCCACTTCCATGGAACATCTAGGACAGTGATGGAGAACCTTTTAGAGACTGAGTGCCCAAACTGCAACCCAAAACCCACTTATGCATCATCGAGTGCTGGGTGGGTGTGGCCCATTAGGTGGGCGTGGCCCATTGGGTGGGCGTGGCCCATTGGGTGGGGATGGCTGCGGTGGTAATGGCAGACTGGGTGGGACCAAAAAGTTCAATCAATTCCAACTCTGCAAGATTTTTTTTTCCCACAAGAAGTTGAAATTGACTGATTGAACTTTTTTTTTTTTTGCACACGGTAGCGGAGGCCTAAAGCGAAAAGGTTTTCTAAAACCCAGCTGAAGGCCTAGGACTGGGGCGATGGTGTGCCCACAGAGAGGGCTCTGAGTGCCACCTCTGGCACCCGTGCTATAGGTTCACCACCACTGATCTAGGACATTTTTAGAGTCTATGGTATTTCCAGCAAGGGCTTAAGGAGAGATGGTCACCTTAAGCATCTGAGTGTTAATATCTTTCCTATTCATCTTCCACAGAAAAAAACATCTCCCAGTGAATGGAAGCCAGAGCAAAGCCTAGCCTTACCCAGAGCAGCCATATTCTTCAAAATTTCCCACATGACTTCCCTGCACAAGGTCTTCTGACCAGAATCTAGCAGCTCCCACTCCTCCAGCGTGAAGTCCACAATCACCTCTTCAAACAGACCAGATCCCTGATAAGAAAGAAAATGTTCCTTGGCAGACATTACCAGGAAAGACTTGTTTTATTGCACAAAAGGGAAACAGAATTTTGCAAGGGACTAAACGGACATTTTCTTACCGGAAACTAATTTATGCCTGCATCTCCACATAGTCTTCGGGGCTGGGAAGCCATAGCTACACAAATCATGTCTTAGGTGCATCCAGGTTGTGGAATGGCAACACAGTCACCATTGCAGAGGCAGAATAACACAGCGAGAAGTTTTGGGGAACAGAATCCCCTAGGATAGCAAACTAGTAAACATGACACATCCACTAGAAATTTTTCCTAACCTATCTCAAAATTTTGGCAATGAGCCTAGAAATCCCAAGTCACTTGGCCATCAGTCTTACTGTTGCAGCTGTTTAGCACTGACTTAAACATGAATCCCATGAAGGATGAAGCCCTAAGTCCATACGCAGTTTTTAACCTTATTTCTATTGTTTCAGTTCGTGGCCTTCATTTCTAACTAGTTTCCAGCTCTCTTCTGAAAAAGCATTGAGAAATATTGAGAGTATTAAGAAATGTTTTAAGAAAAGTGTTAAGAAACGTTTCTACCAAAGAAATTTTGTTGCCTAATACAAGGCTCTCAGTCTCTAAATTTTCTCGTTTGCAACTCCAGAACAATCTTGAAGTGTTCTGCAGGATATTCCGGGGGGGACATTGTGTTCAAACGGACACACTCAGCATTTGGTGGTAAAAGCAACTCATGAATGGAGAGAGGTGGAAATGCTGTTCTCAGAGGAAACCTGCACTTACCTGCCAAGGAGGCCCATGTTGGATCCTCCTAAAAAGCAGCTCCTGAGAAGAGCTGGATGGATCTCCTCTTTCCTGGAGCTCTGCTGAGATCTCCCCAGTGAATGGCTCCTGCACCTGACAGAAGAGTCTGGTTTATGATCCACTTTCAGAAAACCATAATGAGATTAGTTTGTTTGCTTTACCTTTTGCCATTCCACCTGTATTTCTCCAACCCAAGTCAAAGTTAAGACAACTCAGAGACTCTGTACTGCACATGACTTCTATTTTTGGGGTAAATGCCTACCATTGTAAAAATTAGACTTAAGGAGCCCTGCTGCAATAACTAACAGAAGATCAAACTCTAATTGGTGGGAAACAGCTATGAAAATCACAACAAGTACTCCCATAATGCAGAACTGTTCGGGGGCGGGGGTGGGGGGGGAGACCACTGTTTCATAAACTTCCTTAGAAAAAAAAAATATTCTGTTACATGATTGAGAAAAACCTACAGGTTACAACCCAACTTTTTAGGTAATAAAGTCAGAAATATTGGAGTGATTGAGAATAGTTTGAATATCATCAGCTGAAATGGAAAAAGTGCCCCAATTAATTCCTGCACCAGAGGAAACAAGAAGAGATGCCTGACAAGAAATTGTGGCCACTTCCTCAAATTCTAGACTCACTTACATCCCTCATGAGCATGAGCAGTTGAAACAGGGTTGAACTTCTCTTTTCTGCAACAGAATTATCTCCAAAGGAAACAGAAGCATTTACCTCAAGAAGAAGTTGGTTCTCCAAATCTTGGCAGTAAAACAGGCTAATTCTGCTGACTGTCTGCTGCCTACCATTTGGCAGTTTGATTCCCACCGGCTCAAGGTTGACTCAGCCTTCCATCCTCCCCATCCGTAAAATGAGGAGTCAGACTCTTTGGGGACAATATGGTAATTCTGTAAACCGCTTAGAGAGGGCTGTAAAGCACTGTGAAGCGGTATATAAGTCTAAGAGTGCTACTGCTATTAGTAGTACCAGAAAAGGCTGCAGAGGCATGTTCTGAATCTCTTTGATTTTGCCTAGATTGCCGATTCCCACCACCACCACCACCACCCTGCAGCTCCCAAGATGAAGCCCCCCCGCCCTCCTCACCTGCCCCTTTCCCGGCTCTTCCCGCTGGGCTTGGCTGAGGAGGAAGCCTTCGGCCAGGGCCACCGCCTGCGAACAGCTCTCGGCTCCGCACTCCCTCACCCAGCTCGCCATCTCCGCGGGCAGCAGGGCCAGCAGCTGCTCCAGCACCACCAGGTCCAGCATCTCCCCTTTGCTGCTCCTCTCCGGCCGCAGCCACTGGCGGCACAGGCGGTGCAGGCGGCTGCAAAGCTCCCGGGGCCCCTCGGCCTCCTGGCGGCAGCCGTCGAGACCGCGGAAATGCCAGCGCTGAGCCTCTGAGCTGAAGGCGCCCTCCATCCCTGGGCTTCCGTTGGGTCTTCTCCTCGAGGGTAATCAAAACAAGCCCAGGGCAGCCACTCCGCTCCGACTGCCCGGTTTCCAGCAGGGGAGAAGGGGGAGGGGCTCGGCTCCTTCAGACCTTTTTGCCCCTCAGAGCAGCAGCTGCCACTCGCTTCGCCACGATTTCCCGCTCACACCGAGAGCCTCGGTCAAAGAGTGCTCCTTCCTAGAGGGGCAAAACGCCACAGGTGTCCCTCATTCCCTACCGCTGCCTTAAGAGAGCTTCCCCGGGAAGCCCTCCGCCGCCTCCTCTGCTCGGCGAGTACTGACCGAGGTCTTTCTGCGCATGCTCCTTTCCTTGCCCGTTGACGTTTAGAAAGCTGCTCGAACTCCAGGGCTGGTGGAGCATTTGGTTGGGGGCGGGAGAAGGTGCGAGGGGCGGAGAAGATTGACGGTCGCTTCTGGGCCTCTGGGATTTCTTTTGCTCTTGTGTCCGAATCTTTTGGAAATGCTGATGTGTTCCTGGAACAGAGGGAAGAAAGTGTGTGTGTGGGGGGGGGGAGAGACTTCTTGGAGAGAAATGAGAAAAATGTCAATAAGGGTCCTAAGGCAGAGACGTCTTTGCACGTCAATGTATCCATTTATTAGTAAATAAGGGAGTAAAAAAGGCTCCGGGCTTCTTATGGCCAGTTTGGTGGCCTCTTCTCTATGGAGCAGTGTTTCTCAACCTTGACCATTTTAAGGCATGTGGACTTCAACTCCCAGAATTCCACAGCCAGCAATGCTGGCTGTGGAATTTTGGGAGTTGAAGTCCACATGCCTTAAAATGGTCAAGGTTGAGAAACACTGCTATGGAGGAACGTTCTTTATATATTTTTTTTTATTCATCCTTAAAAAGGCTCAGATCCCTAATACTTGCGGCTTGGCGGCCCGGCCCGGCGGGGTGGGGGAAGAGAGGGAACCAGGCGGCGCGAGCAATGGGCTGGGGTGTGTGCGTGTGTGCAGCTCCACTCGTGCAAGAGAGAAGAGAAGCCTTTGCGGAGGGGAAGGGCGCTCTCGGGCCCCTTCAGGCTTCTCCGCGCCCCAAAGCGTTTGCAAAGGGGACGGAAGGCCTGAAGCGGCACGAGATCGCCCCCCCCCCCCAAAGCCTTTCGTCCGTTTGCCAAAGCTTTGGGCGCGTTGAAGCCTTTGGGGGCGCGGTCTCACGCTCCTCGGAACTCACCAAAAGCGGATCGGGCGTCCTGCGTAGGCAGCCTCGGTGAGTCAGGGCGTGCTCGTCCCGCTCAGTCTCCGCTCCGCTTTTGGACCGTGGGGGGGGGGAGAGGGGCTTGGCGGTCCGGCCTTGGAACAGCTCTCGGCTCAGCACTGCGTCACCCAGCTCGCCGTCCCCGGGGCCAGCAGCTGCTCCAGCACCACCAGGTCCAGCATCTCCCCTTTGCTGCTCCTCTCCGGCCGCAGCCACTGATGGCACAGGCGGCTGCAAAGCTCCCGGGGCCCCTCGGCCTCCTGGCGGCAGCCGTCGAGACCGCGGAAATGACAGCGCTGAGCCTCTGGGTTGAGGGCGGTCTCCATCCCTGGAGATGTCTGCCCCTCCACCGAGTCTCCTGCTCGAGGGCAGCCAAAAGAAGCCCGAGAAAGTCCCAAATGTCCCCCAGCCCCTCCGAAACGCCTTCTCCGGTTTGCAGGAGGGCAGAAATGGGTCTCCGCTCACTCGGCCTTTACCCGCCTGAGGAGAGCAACTACAAATCGTTCCCGCCGATTTCCTGCACGCTTCTGACCTCAAGTGACAGAACAAGGAGCCAAAGCGATAGAGGGAACCAGGTTAACAAGAGAATGAAAGAAGACTTTCCTTTTCCGGACTCCCGTAATGTCTACGCCTTTGCTCTTCTTCGGAGGGGGGCGGGGTTCGCAGAAAGGCGGGCGGCGGAAGCCGAGGCAGGGGCGGCGTTGCGTGTAAAGGGCAGGGAAGAACCGATGATCTCGGCGTCGCCCCTCTTCATCGTCTGCTTGCTCCTGTCCGGGTCCTGCGCCTTGCAGGAAACTTGGCGAGCCTCCGCTGAAAGGTGGGGCTCTCCTTGGTCTCTGGGTCCAGCGCAGGACGGACGGACGGATCGGGGGCTGAACGTCGGAAGGCGCCTGGTAGCTCCTTTTCCAGCTGACACCTTTCCTTGCACAACGGGAGCTTCGTGAGACCAGCCGCCTCCGTCAGATGCAGAGACTGACGCAGGATGGAAATCGGGGAGGGCGACGGGAGGGGGAGGCAGGATGAATCCGGGGCTGCAAACGAGGGGAAGCCTCGCCCTCTGCCTAGCTCTATTCGTTACCCGTTCTGCCTAGCTCTATTCAGTTACCATTTTCGTTTCATAGCATGTTTCTTGTGTCAAAAAGCACAAAGGTATTTTAAACACAGCCTTGCTCTATATCTGTTCCATACCCTCAAAATGGAACATCTAAGATAATGATTTTTAAAGTCTGAATTAACTTTAACTTTCCCATACCATAAATAGCTTCCACACCGTTGCCGAGGAGCACTTTTGCTGTCCAAAGGTTGGCTGAAAAAAGTCAGTTTGGATTTTGGGGTGGACATTTTTCAGCTAGCCCCCAGGAACCAGCCAGCAAACGGTGGTCTGATTCCTTCCTTGCAGGCTTCATCATTGCGTTTCAGGGAAGCCTGCAGAGAAATTGTAAATATTGGTCACGTTTGTAAGGCGTTTAGCAAGAAGCGGAAAAATACTACAGACATCTAAAGGATATCCAAACTGTGATTTGATATTCTAATGTAAAATGTGGCCAGAATATCACAGAAACCTGATGCTCCATTTTCTGCGTGTGCATCTTTGGGTAGGGCGATTGTTGGCTACTGAAATTGTCTTGGATAAAGGTTTGGGATCTGCATTCCTGGTCTGGGAATCCTGACTGGATGAATTTGTCAGCCTTTTGAGCTAAATCCAGACCTGAAGCATTAGAATGAATACTAGCACCATCTCTACTGTGAGGCCACAATACAAACTCCAGAAACTCTGCAAGTATTTCTCCCCTCCTCTCCTTTTACTCTGAAAAATTAGGGAGTTTCTTCTACAATTCTTCTAATGCCCCAACCCCCTCACAATCTCCTTGTGGGCACTAAGTTATCTTTTACATAATGGTTGTCCAGCCTAAGGCTCTTCCCATGTCTCCCAAAGCCAGTCTCATTCTCCTGTTATCCCCTCCCTATCCATGTTCTCCAGAAGCCTTTTCCATTGTTTGTAAAGAAGAAAAACAAAGGCATATAAGATTTTGTAATGAGGTTTGCTATATTGTCAATGAGAATGAATAGTTTAAATAATATCAGCTGAATTCCTGCATTAGAAGAAAAAAAGGGAGAGAAGAAAGAATGAATTCATGTCACTCCCTCAAATGCTGGAGCTTCTTACATCCCTGAGGAGGCTGGGAGGTTGAAATAGGCTTGAATTTATTTTTTCCCCATGAATTATCTCTGAGTGGAAACAAACATTTGCCTAAAGAAGAAATAAATCATCCTTTAACTAAGGTCACTGATTTGCTCTCAGCAATTTTGATATTCGATTGCTTGTAGCTTTTCTTCCATGTGATCACTTAGATGGTAGATAATATTCCAGTTCAAACCAGATTATTTTGTTCACTTTCCATGCTTTAATAAACGTCCTGCCATGTCTAGATCCTTGGATGAATAATATGTTGACTGTTGCAAATAAAGCTCAATGCATGAACTCACTTGTTTTTTCCTGTAGATCAGCGCCCGGTCAGCCTGGGACAAGCTGAGGCACTGTGGGCCGGTCCTTCGTCGTTTCCAGGGCGGCTCGGTGGGAAAAATATAACACGGTAGGCCGGATTTGGCCTGCAGGCCTTGTTTGACGACTGCTGTACAGGAAGTCCTCGACCTACAACAGTTTGTTTAGTGACCTTTCAAAGTTACAATGGCACTGAAAAAAGTGACTTATGACAATTTTGACACTTAACAACCATTGCAACATCTTAATGATCATGTGATCAACATCCAGATGCTTGGCAGCTGGTTTATATCCATGACTTGCTGTGTCCCAAGATTATGTGATCCCTTTTGTGATGTTGTGACAAGCAAAGTCAATGGGGAATCGAGATTCACTTAACAACCGGATTGCTAACTTATCAACTGCAGCTATTCACTTAACAACTAAGGGAAGAAAGGTCGTAAAATGGGCAAAATTCACTTAACAAATTCTCAATTAACAAGATAAATTTTGGGCTCAATTGTGGTTGTAAATCAAGGACTACGTGTAGTCATTAAAGGCTTTTTCCCTCCACACTCAATACATTTGTGGGCTGGCTCCCCTGTGGATACTTTGGTGAGCAATATCGCCTCTCTCCTCAGAAAGGCTCTTTCTATCCTCTGTGGATTTATATGCTATTTATGAGAATTGTGCTTTCCAAGTAAAGCTATTTTCACACTCTGTGCATTAATGCGGCCTATGCACTGTGTGGATCCTTTCATGACAATTTAAGATGAGCTTTCCCAGTGTAGCTTTTTCCAATCTATCTACTTATATGGTCACTTCCCACTGTGAATCCTTTGGTGGCAAGTAAGATGACTGTTGCTAATGAAGCTCTTTCCACATTCTTTGCATTTATAAGGTCTGTCCCCAGTATGGATCCTTTTGTGATGATTAAGATCTCCTTTCCGTGTAAAGCTCTTTCCACATTCCGTGCATTTGTACGGTCTGTCCCCAGTGTGGATCCTTTTGTGACGATTAAGATCTCCTTTCTGGGTAAAGGTCTTTCCACATTCCATGCATTTGTCTCTCCCCTGTGTGGATCCTTTGGTGGCAAATAAGATGACTGTTGCTAATGAAACTCTTTCCACACATGCAGACTTTCCTCTTTCTGCTCAGACTGGAATCCCCTCCAGTTTTTACAGATGTATGTGGTTTGCATTTCCAATACAGTTTTTCTGGTGGAGTAGAAGCGAAGGAGTTATTCTCCATAGTGTCTAGAGGCGTGCAGGTTTTTTTTAGTGTGGATTCTGCCATAGTTATGTAATTCAAATTCATGTTTTCTTTTTCTCTATATTTTCCTTTTCTCATTTCTTTCTGATCTTGCTGGGATAGGAAGCCACAAATACCAAGAGAAGTGGATGACTTTTCCCCTCCATCTTCTGGCTGTTTTCTCTTTAAACTTTTCGTGTCCCTCTGATGGCCAAGGATTACTTTTACTTCGTTCTTGTCTATTTCGAGTAGATTTAACCTTGTCTCCTTGTCGTTCTCATTCACACACACACCATCTGCATGGGAAAAAAAGAAAATGAACATACTGATTAGAATTTAGAAGGTGCCCCTCAAAAACATGCCAATCTACATTCCAGGTTTAGTTAAAATCCATTTGTCTAGCCAGGATGTGATATCTGCAAATTGTTATCTAGGACAGGGCTTTTCAATCGGTGGTATGCATACCACCTGTGATACATTGGCATGTGATACATGGCCCAGCCCAGGGTATCAGGAGAGTGAACGAGCCAAAGTGGCGCAGTGCAAGACTGGCCCTGAGAGAGTCTTCAGGAGCTGCAGGGCTGTTTGGGGCGAGGCAAAGGCCCCAGGACTGGCACTTCCATCACACTTCTGGAAGAAACAGGAGGGGGGGCGGAGACAGGAATGGATATAAAAGGCAGTTTGGGCGGGAGAGGAGAGAAACAAAAAGAAAAGACACAGCCTTGCGAAGAGGAGGAAGAGTCAGCTGGAGCTGCACCAAAGTGAAAAGGAGGAGGCGGGGTGAGAGGACAAAAAACAGGCCGGGCATGCACACAGGTGGCAGCGACAAACAGGTAAGAAACGCACCTGGGGAAGGGTCGTGGTATGAGAGTCCACGTTATCTGCACTACGCCGCCCAGCTCCCCCCTCCGCCTGACCAAGCAGGTAGCGGCGCTCTCTCCTCACTGTGCAGAGAGGAGGCGGTGTGCGCATGTACTTGGGGTCCTGGATGAAAGGAAAGCATTGAGAACACGGTCAGCTTGCGTGGCAGGTTCAGCATGTCGCCAGTTCACCTCATCCAGCCACTCTGTGCAGTAAAGAGCACACCGCTGCCTGCTGAAACCATGCTGGGGTCTGAGCGGCATAGCACAGGTAACATGGACTCTCACGCCGCTCACACCGTCTCCTCCCCTGGAGTCCACAGGTGTGTGAAGTGGCAAGGGTCATTTGCTGATCTCCTCCAGGGGATGCTTGTTTTTCTCCCTCATTACAAATTTTAATTTATTTATTTTATTTTTAAAATAAATAAATAAATAAATAAACTGGCAGCCTCTCCCCCCTTTTCTGGGCACGGAGGGAGGAAGGAAGGGACAATGGGAGGCAGGGAGGGAAGAAAGGAACAAAGAGGGCAGGAAGGGACAAAGGGAAGGGAGGGAGAGAGGGAGGGAGAATGAGAGGAAGTGAAGGAAGAAAAGAAGGAAGAGAATGGGAGGGTGGAAAGGAACAATGAGAGGGAGGGAGAAAAGGAAGAGACAATGGGAGGGAAGGAAAGAAAGGGAGGAGGGAGGGGACAATGAGAGGGCGCCCACCCCAGTCCCATCCCCCTACAACAAAGACCCACGGATCACCCCAAAGCCCCGCCTGCACCCCCCACAGGCGCTCCGTGACCTGAGTGACATTGAGTTGCCCGCCTCCTCCCCCCAGCCATTGACTTCAATTGTCAAAAAGTTGCAAAAGGTGATTACATGATCCTGGGTCACTGTGACCGTCATAAGTATGAATCAGTTGCCAAGCATCAGAATGTAAATCACATGACCCTGGGGATGCTGCAACAGTCATAGATATGAAAAATGGTCATAAATCACTTTTTTCAGTGCTGTTGTAACTTCAAACAGTCACTAAGC